TCGTCGTAAATAAAGGTTTGTTTGTTGATGTTATAAGGAGTCAAATTTTGCTTTCTATGCCAATTCTTTCTGCAGGAGTCACACGGGCCTGAGTTGCACAGTGAATGCCTTGTCCTCCACGTTCCTGTCTCGCTTGCCCTCCTGTCTTGCTTGGGCCTCCTGCAAAGCCATCATTGTCCACCGATCAGTGCCTCTACCACGTGCCGCACCGCGGCTTCCTCCTCATGTCCCTTGTACCTACATAAAGCACAATCAGGGTTTCCTGCTGCTTGCTGTAGCACTGTGCCCCTCCCTGGGGCACCTCGGAAGCCACAAGATGTGCACAAAACCCCATCCTGCTGGCTCTGGATGATTCACCAAGCCCCGGGCAGGGATGTGCTGGTGGTGCGTGAGGGGTGGCCTCATCCCAGCCTGCAGTCACCATGTCCCGGGGGCGTCCATAAACGACTTGTGTGGGCTCTGTCCCCACTAAGGCTTCCCTCCTGAACAGGTCACCTCAGAGGCATCTGCACAGTCACCGACCCTGGGGACCACAGGGGAACACAGGATCATCGTCTCCCTAATGCGGAGTTCAAAGCTATCTCTAAGGCTCCCCGAGAGAGCTGTATACTGACTGAGCAAGCGAGGTGACATTCCTGACTTTACCTCCTTCTCCCTAAAGTTTATTTTGCCTGATGTTATGAAGACATCTGACCTGCTGAGTTAATAAAGACTTTAGTGAGCAGCCTGACCACCTTTTACGTCTGTGTTTAATCTCAGTCTTGTCTCTTCTGGTTTCATCTGGACCCCGAGGTGAATTTGGAAGTGGAGATTCGTGTGTGACCTCTGCTACTGGACACCTTCTTGCTAGGAATCCCGTGCAGTTGCTGGCTTTTCTTGTGATTGTCAGCACTTTGTCACTTATTACAAAGCAGCGGAAATAGTTTGCTTTTTGTTATTATGAAGGTATGCCCAGAACAAGTAGGGCCACAGAACTGCTTTTTCTGTGTGTATCAACTTAGTCCAGAACATGTTTAACCAGAACTGAAGGTGTAAAACCCTAGAACTCACTGTTCTATTTTAGTAGGGCACAGGAAGCACGAAAACCATAGAAACCACAACAAACCAAAAGCACCCCTGATGGCAACAGGCAAGAACTTGTCTGCCTCCCTAAGGTACCCACTGACAAACCTGCCTGAGGAGCAAGAGAGCTGCGGGCATCGCCGCAGGGCCCTCAGGCTGCTGGCGACCTCTCGCCTCCTTGTCCACACCAGTCCCCTCAGCCACCCAGCTGACAGCTGCCGTCTGTGCAGTGGCCCAGCAAAGGTCCTCCAAGCAAACCCAACTTCCAGCTTGAAGGTTGAGCCCCCAACTCGGCCGCTGACCTTCGAATGACAATCAGCCAAGTCTCAAATGGCTCCTGGCAGCACTGGCCTGGTTCTTCCTTTGGTACCTGAGCATAAACTGTTTTCATTGTGTTGGTTTGCAGAAGAGCAGGGCTACTGCTCATCCTGGTCCCAGCGCGGGAGGTGATGACAGCCACGCCGGCTCGGTCAGCAGGGACACTAGACCAACGTGTGAGGTGACACACCGCCCCTCAAAACGACTCAGGAGGCCGCACAGCACCCGTCTCCCGGACCGGGAAGCCCAGAAATCATGAGGTCGATGCCAACAGGAAGACACGCAGTTCCCAAGCTCGCACAACCGCACTTTCCCGGCTCTCCAGGTGCATAAAAGAATTCAAAACCAAGCCACTCCAGGGCCCCAGCTTCCTGAGTCCCTGTGATCAGGTGAAAGGGAGGCAGCAAGCGTAAACATCAGTTTGGCTTGACCATTGTGTGGTCCCCCAGATCCTCTCTGAGCCCCAAGAAGCTTCCGGCTCGGCCTTGGAGGGTTCCAGGCAGGGAGTCAGAGAGCCAGGCAGTGGCTGCTACTCCCATTTCCACTCAGGGGAGATTGTTTCTCCTTTTTAAATGTGTAATTTGATCAGTTTTAATGTCATCATCATCAAAACAAAAAACATCATCACAATCAAGATAAAGGACATATCCATCACCCTATTATGTTGTAACCATGGGTTTGTGTTTTCTGTTTTGTTTTATAACAGCATCAGAGATTGAACCCAGAGATACACTACTATTGAGTTATATCCCCATCCATTTTGATTTTGAAACAGGGTCTGACTCAGTTGCTGAGGCTGGCGCTGAGCTTACAATCCTCCTGTCTTAGCCTCCCAAGTAGCTGGGGTTACAGGCGTGTGCCACTGCACTCAGCTGTAAATATATGTATATATAATATATATATTATAATTATATATATATTAATGGCTTCATAATGTCCTCTATCAAACACATGTAACCTGAATTAATTTCTTCATGTAACATTTAGATGACTTCAGTTTTTCAATAAAATATACTTTTTATATAGTTTTTCTTTTTCAGTTACTACATTAAAAGTACAAATATTTCTGAGGCCTCTAGAAATTTAGACTCTTTTTTTTAACAGTCTTGCTATGTTGCACCGGCTGGTCTTGAATTCCTGGACTCAAGTGATCCTCCTGAGAAGGTCCAGCCCTCTGAGTAGCTGGAACTATAGGCACATACCACCACAACCAGCTTCTTTTACAGGTTTGGTTGAACCTACTAGATAGTTGTCGTCTACACAACCTTTTGAGTTGTTGTTCCTGACCATCTGCCTACCAGTGATCTGCAGTACCTAAACAAGGGCGGCTGCTCAAAACCTTTTCCATGCAGAAGTGTGGAAACCACACAGTAATCCTGCACAGTTTTTGATTCCCAGGCCCCTCTATACTTTCTTTGCCATACACAGTTTGTGTCCTTTGAAGTTCATGTTGAAATTCCATTGCCGTTATGGTTGTACGGGGTGATGGCGCTTTTAAGAGATTATGAGGTTGTTAAGAGGGATGAATGACTTTCTTGCTTACGGGCCTTTGCTGAGACAAAATACCGGACACCCAAAGTTAAAGGGGAAAGGGTTAATTTGGCTCACAGTTTGTAGCTTTCAGTCCATAATCGGCTGGCTCCAAGGCAGGGTGGCAGAGGGGGAACAGTTCATGGCGACAGACAGTAGCGAAGCATCAAGGGATTATTTCTCCTTTTGACCCTCGAAGCTATAAGATGGAAAGATAATTTTTTCCACAACCCTGATAATTTCCCAGTTGGAGCAGACCCCTGTCACAAAAGACAGGCTAACAAGAGGAGAAAAGGAAGCACATCAGCAGTCTGTGTCATACGCACGTAGGATAGGTCCGCAAATGCGAGACTCTGAGGTAGGTGGCTTGGATTCCAACTTGCTCAGCTTGTTCAACAAAGGGCAGTAGAAGTTTAGAGAAGCAACTGGTGGAGGAAAAGCAGTTTCAGTCTCCAGGGGCGTAGGTGCTCCTGGTGGGGTTTCCAGGTAGATAGGATCTCAAGTGTCCTCAGGGTTGACTTGTTCTGACTAAATGGAAAGTGAGAACCTTTTACCTTCATAAGATCTACGTCCTGTTTTTGACCAACAGAGGGAAAGCAGTGAGCTTCCTGCGTCAGCTTCTTCCAAATTGCCTTTGGCTCCACAATCCTTACAGCAGAGAGGCCTGTTCAGGGTGGTGTGTTAGGGCCTTCCACAAAGTAGGAGGAGCAAGTCTCACTGCTGTTCGCCTCTGGATTCCTCCACACCCTTATTGGTTCTACCATCTGCTCGCCCTGCTTTCAACACTTTTGTTTTTGTTTTTTGAGACAGGCTATTGCTATGTAGTCCAGGCTGGCCTCAAACTCCCAATGATCCTCCTGCCTCAGCCTCCCGAGTGCTGGGATCACAGGTGTGCGTCACCACGCCCAGCAACACTTTCATCCTGATTCAGTGTCTTTGGAATCTCGTCCGAGTGAGCGCCCAGTGCCAGGTACGATGAGAATCCTGCTCTCCCCTGCCTGCCTGCCCCTCTCGCTGTTGAGGAAGTGACAGGGCTGGGGCCGGTGATCTCTAGTGTGCAGAGGGAAATGGCATCTTAGTCTTAGGCTGGGTCTAAGGAGCTGGTGGCAAGATCCTTAGTCAGGAGTTTAGGATGTGGTGGGGGATGCTGCTCCTCAACAGGCAGAGAAAGCGGCTTCTCTTTTTGTTTGTTTGTTTGTTTTTGAGGTAGGGTCTCCCTGTGTAGTTGAGGCTGGCCTTGAACTCACTACGTAGCCAAGGCTGGCCTCAAACTTGAAGCGATCCTCCTGCCTCAGACTCCCAAGTGCTGGGATTACAGGCATGCATCACCATGCCAGTCGAGAAAGCAGATTTCTCTAGAGAAATTGTGGGGAGGGCACAGAAACTGAGCCCCCGCAGGACCCAGGGTGACCTCGTACTCAGATCTGGAAAGCACGGGTGGCCACCTGCAATCTCTCCACTGCTGCGAACTCTAATGTGCCCTCAGCCTCAGCCAGTGTGGTCGGCTCTGACCCTCACCACGTCCTGACTGCACACAAAGCTGTGCTAGTCGCTTTGCTTCATGTGTGTTTAACCCTCAAGACACCCAGAGAGCTTGGGATTCATACTCTCCGGTTGGCAAAGCTGAAGCTCAGAAACTCGCCAAGACCATAGCAAGAGATCCTGGCCCTGGGCTCCAAGGACTCCAGAAAGTTCCAGGTGGCTCTAAGGTCTACAGGGTTTTAAGGCTGCTCCCGAGTGTGGAGCCCTCATGGTAGAGTTTTGTTTCTTTCCACAAAACTTTCAGAGGTGTGGGACCTGTGGCGACTGAGGACTTGCCTGACACCAGAACCATCCCGCGTTCCCTTTCGTTAGGAGGTTTTATCTAAATAAACCTTCTACCCAGATCCCGAATCCACAGTAACACAACCCAGGCCACCACCTCACCGTCCCTCCACCTGGCCCGCCCGCCCTCCAGTTTCTTCTCTGGAAACCGCTCAGTTCTAACGCATTCTGTCCTGCAGACCCTCGAGGGGAGGAGGAGCCAAAAGCAGATGCAGATAAGGAAGCCGGAGTCCTTAGGTGCAGGCCAGACTGCGAGGAGGGCCTGACTCACACTGGGGGTTGGTTGCACAAGCAAGATTTCAAAACCAATCCCTTACTGGAGACCTCAGCCCAGTGTACAACCTTCCTGGCTGGAAAAAGAAGAACTTCTTCATCTTTTTTTTTTTCTTCAAATCTTCACCATCACTCGCCCTTATATCTCCGCCTTCTCTCTCTGCAGGAAACTTGATTTCCTACTTCTGCATGCAAAGTTTCCACCTCCAGATCTGACTGGTTCCGTTGCTGAGAGGCCACCTGGAAGAAACCACCCCTGGTGAGTGGCTCGGTTCTGTGCATGACTTTAGGGATCAGGAACGCACTGCACTGGGGAAATGCAAGCGCAGGGCCAGGTGCAGCCTGACCCTGCAGGAAGGGACCAGAGGGGCAGGCAGGGAGGTGTCAGGTGCACCTGCAGCTGTGGGGGGACCTTGGCAGCAGTGAGGATGGACGGGGCAGGGTGTGCAGGATGCGACCTTCCTCGGGGCTGAGGTGTCAGGAGAAAGTGGACACAGTGGCCGTGGGGCTGCCACTCTGCAGTCACCCGGCTTGCTGTGCCTCCCAGACAGGCAGGGGCTCGGTGGGGCTGAACCTCCTGCCTCCACATCTGTGCCCCTGGCCCACGTGGGTGGGCAGTCCCCTGTCTCACCCAACACTGCCCGAGAGGCTCCTCCTGGGGGCAGCATTCTCGGGGCTGAGCTCACCTGGGCCAGCAGGTGTTGGGCACTTGGCTGACCACCTGCTGCACAGGTGGCGGGCCGAGGTGAGCTTGCGCGCCGTATCTGATGTGCAGCCGCAGCGGCACTTGAGGAATGAGCAGAGTGGGAGGCCTCCTTCAGAGGTTGCCTTTAGTCCCTGCTCTGCACCAGTCCAGTCCCCTGAGGTGCAAGCCCATGAAATGTGGCGATCCACATCGAGAGGGCAGGATAAGCTTCAGGGCCTATAAAAACAAGTCCATAGTCACTCTGTGAGGGGGGGGTATGTCAACAAATACGTATAACAAGCCCTATCGATGTCAGGGGTTCTAATAATAATCACTGTTATCATAGAGTTGTGAACTCATTCAGTGAACATTTTTTTACCCTGATGAAATCGTAAGAGCTGGAGACAGAAACATGACTCAGACCTTGACTTTGAGGGGCCACGCTGTGTGAAGATGGCTTGAGATGCAGGAGCTGTTACGAGATAAGAGCGATTTGTCAGAGAAGGCAGATTAATCTTCACAGAGAAGGGAAGTGTGAGCAGGAGGTGTTGAAGGATGAATAGGAGGTCCTTTTAGTCAGAGGGACGAGTGGAGGCAAAACCAAAGAAGCATGGAGGAAAGGCGCATTTGGGGAAGGGAGAGAAGATGGCTGCGGGGAAAGCACAGGATTGGGGATCTGAGAAGCGACGAAGGATGACACTGACAGCTGAGCCCCAAAACACCACAGTAAGCAGGTGGTTGTGGTCTGTGACACACAAGCCCAGGGGCTGCTGAGGCTCAGGCTGAGAAGTGCCCGATCCGATCTCAACGGCTGAGCAGGCTGGCGAGGGACCAGCCAGGAGGAAGTGGCAAAGCGAGGAGGGGGCGCAGGCCAGGAGCTGCTGGCAGCCACAGAGCTCGGAGGGGATGAAGGGGAGGGCCGTGCAGGGTGGGCCTTGCGACAAGACGGCTGCACAGAGCGGCTCCCTCCCAGCCGGCCTTGGCGGGAGCTCAGCAGAGAGGAGCAGAGTTGGAGGCGTTCACTGGCCTCAGGTCACACAGCTCTGTGCTGAGGCAGGATTGGAACCCAGGTCTGGCCCCTCGTTCCCTCAAGGGCAATGGGTCTGGGAAATGGCAAAGCCTGCTCCTCAGGCTGTGCAGGGAAATGGCACTGATTAGGATAAGGGGCTGCTGCGTTGGGGGTGGCGAGCTCGAGGTCCCTGCAGGACGCACACCTTGCCCACTGCTGTCTCCAGGGCCTGGAACAGAGTAGGGATCAAAACGGCACCCGGTAAACCCTGACTGAATCCACGGGAGATACACAGGTTCGACTCAGCTGAGGAGAAAGGTGGAGCTTGAAGACAGAGCTGGGGGGGCCTGGCATGCAGGGGAAATGGGGACGTGATTCTGGAGTGAGATTAAAGAGGCAAGGATAACAGACAGTCGCAGGAGGTGCCAGGGCATGGCTATGTTGAGGGCAGTGGGAGGAGATCCCCAGGAAGAGCGATAGTAAGAAGTGGTCAGATGCGTGCTTCCTCTTAGAAATCAAAGGGCTTCAAATGGAAGGAGTTAACAAAAAGATCCGATACTTGGTGAGGACGGAGTGGGCACGAAGCGAGGGCATTGGAGCGCCCGGTGGTCCCTGAGTCTGGACAGGAAAAGTCTGGGTCGGGCGATGGCAGCAGGAAGCTGAGAGGACTCTCCGAATGTTTGGGGCTGCAAGGAACAGGAAGTGCAATTCCCAAAGGCTCGTTTTTCTCAAATAATAAGTCAGACAATGAGTAGTTCGAGGGTGAGCTTGGGACTCCACAGTGCTGGGTCTCCAAGCAGCTTCTCTCCAATTCTCTGGCTCTTCTGTTCTTGCTGCCAAGACCCAGGCCCATGACAGCCAAGCCACAAATGTGGCAGGGCCCGGCGGGGTATGTATTGGGAAAGAGCTTCCTGGAGGTCCCCCGGCACACATCGGGGACAGGCTGTGCACCACCCACGAAGGAAGCGGAGAACAGGAGTACCTGGGCTTGTTAGCCTTGTGCTGGGAATCCTGCTGCCTAGGGAAGATGAAGCAGGCCACTGAGTGGCTGTCAGGTGCCAGCTGGTGCCTGCCCCAAGGAATGACCGGAAATGATGTACGCATGCTTGCAAGAGACGCTGCAAAGGATTGACCCGAGGCTGCGTGCATGGGGCATATGTGGAGCAGCTGCTTTGGATCGGGGTTGGAAGGAGGCATGTAGGTTGTGTGCTCATCACTTCATTCTCTATTTCCAGATCAGAGGGACATGGAGGACGAGGACATGTTATCCCGGCTCATCAGGGATGCGCCTCTTTCTGCATTTCTAAGAAGCAGCAAATGGGGTGGCGAAGAAGCCACCACCACCTATGACTACGATTTCAGCCAGCCCTGTAGAAAGGAGGACGTCAGGCAGCTTGCAGCCTGGATCCTGCCCCCGCTCTACACGCTGGTGGTCGTCTCCGGCCTCGTGGGCAACAGCCTGGTGGCGCTGGTCCTCATCACCTGCAAGCGCCTCAAGAGCATGACCGACATCTTCCTGCTCAACCTGGCCGCCTCCGACCTGCTCTTCCTGCTCACGCTCCCGTTCTGGGCTCACTATGCTGCGGCCTCCCAGTGGGCCTTCGGAGGCGCGGTGTGTAAACTGCTCACGGGGCTGTACCAGGTCGGCTACTTCGCAGGGATCTTCTTCATCCTCCTCCTGACAGTCGACAGGTACCTGGCGATCGTCCATGCCGTGTTTGCTCTGAAAGCCAGGACGGTCACCTTCGGGGCGGTGATCAGTGGGGCCACCTGGGTGGTGGCTGTGTTCGCTTCTCTCCCAGGAATCATCTTCACCACGTCTCAGAAGGAGGAGTTGTTAAACCTTTACACCTGCGGCCCCCATTTTCCACCCACATGGAAGATTTTCCATGGGCTGATGAGGAACTTCCTGGGGCTGGTGCTGCCGCTGCTGGTCATGGTCGTGTGCTACTCGGGCATCCTGCGGACCCTGCTGCGGTGCCGGAACGAGAGGAGGAGGCACAAGGCCGTGCGGCTCATCTTCGCCATCATGATCGTCTACTTCCTCTTCTGGGCTCCCCACAACCTCGTGCTCCTCCTGAACACCTTCCAGGTGTTCTTCGGCCTGGACGACTGCAAGAACGGGAGCCAGCTGGACCGGGCCATGCAGGTGACGGAGACCCTGGGCATCACGCACTGCTGTGTGAACCCCATCATCTACGCCTTCGTGGGGGAGAAGTTCCGCAGGTACCTCTCGGTGTTCTTCCGAAAGCACGTGGCCAAGCGCTTCTGCAAACAGTGCCCAGTCTTCTACCGCGAGACAGCAGACCGCACGAGCTCCACCTACACCCCGTCCACCGGGGAGCAGGAGGTCTCGGCTGGCTTGTAACGTGGGCCCCAGGTAGCCCGTCATATTCTAGGCAAGACGGCCATCCGTATGTGGTAGCAAGCCTCAGGGGTTTGTTGGTGACCAGAGACCTGGAAATGAGGAGCCCAGGAGCCTTGGGGCTGTGTCCAGATAGACTATGTCACTACTCGTGGAAAGGGAACATTTCAGAAGAACGGTCATCAAGACCACGGATCTCCAGCAAGCTCATCCCAGTTTCTGGAAAACAATGCTTCCTCGCCTTGGGCTGATGGTTTTTCCCAACTTCACCCTTTCATTCTCTGATTCTATCCGTCCCTGATTGACCAAAGCCCCCTGACAGTGGGAAACAGAGTGACACAGGCCTGGGATGGACCAGGATGAGGGGACCCACTGTCCAGGCCGCATGCGGGAGGAGGGAGATGGGGTGGGCCCGAGCCTGATGGGGATGGAGGTGACCAGGGAAGGGGTCCTGGCCCTTGGCCCCGTCTCCCACCTCGACATGACTTGGAAGACTTCACCAGTCCTGGAAACTTTGCGAACTTAGTCATTTTGGGGGAGCTCTGGTTGGATCCGACAGTCTCTTCTGTACAAGCGCATGGCACATTTTTGCTTTATCATGGTTCATCCGTGACAACCAAGTAGCCTACCTGTGAAGGAAACCGCACCCCTGCCAGCCCTTGCATGGTCACAGGAAAGGACCCTCCATCCTGGGGGCCCGGGCCATGTGCTCAGGAGCCTGAGGCACAAGTGACAGAGGCCCCTGATTTGAAGTCACCATCTCCTCTGCAAAGTGCGGCTTCTCCATTGCCAGGCCAGTGAGCAAGGTTCTAGATGCCCCGGGAGAGGTGTTTATGGGACCACCTTCCAGAGCCTGACGTGTGGATACAGGCACAGAGCTCAGACATTAAAAAAATATATAGTAAAAGTAAAACTAAGGCTGAAAACAGCAAATAGCCAACATGACGAAGTGTTACTGTAAGTCACCACGGTGCTGAGCCGGGAATGCTGGAGTCGCCTCGGAGACAGTTGTGACCTTGAGCGGGAAAGTGTGGAGCCATTGTCGTGTGCTTGGGGGCTGCCAAAGGGACAGCAACAGCTCCAGTGGACCCCGGGACTCGGGGGTCTGCGGGCTTGTGGCCAGGCGGCAGGCGGCGTCTAAGCAGGAATATTATTGGGCTCGCAGCACGCACCCCACCCACAGTGTGCTCTCACGTGCCTCTTCCCTCATGAGGAAGCCATGGACGTGGTCCTATCCGAGTGCCTCTGTGTTGCCGGTGTCCTCGTCCCCTTGCGGCCAGCGGGAGCTCCGGAGTCAGTCCCCCCATCAGAGCTTTGGAAGTCTGCAAAGGAGAGAGACCGAGGAGCTCGCTGGGGAAGCGAGGACTTTGGGCAGGGAGCCCGCCAGTCAGGGATGTTCTCACCGGTTACCTGGTGCGTTTCCGGTCTGAGGGAGGCCAGAAGCTGTGGGCACCCTGGAAGCTGGACGTTTCTGTGGTTTGACTCTTTTGCCCTTGTTTGAAGAAGGTTTCAGAACAAAAAGGGGAACGGGATAGTGTCACCTACTGAACGCATGCTGTTGTGTTTTAATAGATACTGGTTTTCAAAATGATGCTTTGGAAAATAAATGACTGCTCTATGTCGTTTCAAAGATTAAAAGGCAATCGCCTCTTACACCATGGTGTGGTCGGCTGTGTTCTGTTCTCAGCGTTTCGCTTCTTCCTCCAGGTGTCGCAGTGTGAGCTGCAGTCAGCTCTCCAGGTCGTCCAACCGGACCCCAAACCCAAGCCGGCGACTGGGGTCCGAGCCCGGGTGACAGCGGCCTCACCCTCCAGAGACAGCATGGCCGTGCGGCCTGGCCCACTGACACCCTCAGCCCTACACCCAGAGGACGCAGCACACAAGGGAGCAGGGGAGCCACCCAGGGCCCCAGCCCCCAGAAGTCCCTGTTTGCTCCCACAATCCTGAGTTTGGGGGGTCGTTTAAGAAGCTCAAGGCCGAGTGACACACATGGTGTACGGCGGCTCCACAGGTGAAATCGGGAGGTGCCGTCTTCTCCATCACGGAGTCCAGCATGGCAGGCACCGCAGGGCCTGCCCCACCCAGGCTGGGTCGGGAAGATAAAGGTGGCTGCCAATGCCCGTGTCCTCCTATCTCTCCTCCCGGTCCCCGCCTGCTGATGGCCGGCAGAGGACAGACTTACAGCTGCTGTGCAGTGCTCCGGAGAGAGCAATGGTGGCTGCGTCCAGGATCGCCCTGCATCCCAGAACAGTCAGAGCCATGGCAGGACTCCGTGCCCCAGAGAGACTGCCATGCGAAAGTCACTGCTGTCTCCACTAGATGTGGACCTGGGGGTCTCGCTGTTTCCCAGGAGAACCTGGGGGCGGCAGTTTGACATAAGCGGTTGGAGGTAGGGAAGGAGGCGGGCACCCCAGGATGAGTGTGCCCTCCACACCTGTCTCTCTTTTGCTTTTGCTCATGGTTGAAGCTTCCCTAAGAAATCACAACAGCTCCAGGCACATTTAGCAGGCAGGAAAGGCCCCCCAGGGCCCCCCACGACGTCAAAAGAGGAGGAGCCCCGGCTGCCGAGTGACCTCTGCCAGGCAGCTCGGGAGCTGCGGGAGGAGATTGCGCCCCGTTTGGGGAGTGAAGGAGGCTGGAAATATTTCTTCAGACACAATTACTTGGGCCCTGGATTTGCACTTTCGGAAAAGTGTGTGCGTGCGCGTGGAAACATCGCCTCGTACAAGGTCCATAGCCTTGGTGCCCCGGCTGGAGTCTGGAGACATCCAAGCCAAGGGGGTCAGGGCCCTGAACAAGGTCTTGTCTCGTGGATCCCCGTTAACGTGACCCATTCACATCCAAAGGCTTCCGCCCTCGCTGGTTGTTTCAGCTGGGTCTGGGGCCAGCCAGGAGCGTCAGTGCTCCACTCATCCGTTGGGCATGGGCTGGGGTGGAGGGTCAGGAAAAGGGCACTGCCCTTGTACCCAGCGCTGGGCCATCACCTGCTCCAGGTGGCTGAGATGCCCCAGGGAGTCCAGAGCTGGCGGGGCTGCTGGACACTTCTTAGACTGCGAGGTCTCCTTTGGCTAGAGTCTGCCACTCCTCGGGTGCGGCCCCAGGGCAGGTGCATCTTTGGAGCTCCACTGCTAACTCACCGACCCCGCCTGTCCCCACCCACCCCGCTCCAGACCCCGGCCCTCCGCCTCGGGACCCTTTCGGCCAGTGCCTGTTCCTCACCCAGGGAGAGTAGAGGGACCCCTCTCTGCTCCCACCCGTGCCTTCATCCCTTCCCTCCCCCTCACCGGTCCTGGTGCAGGCTGGGTGGGGTTAGTCATGTGACAGGGGCCCTGGGGAGATCTCTGGTCCCAGTGTCGGTGGCTTTCCCTAGAAGCGTGGGGCACTCACTTCCCTACCCTGGGCCTTAGACCATAGCCGTACATACTGCAACTTCCTGTATGCGTGGAGAGGAACACGCAGCTGTGGGTGAGAGGCAGAGTCTGACCCACATAACCGGACAGGTTGTCTGGACCCTGGACTTGTGTCACTGTTCCTGAGCCTGCATTAGCCCAGGGCTGGCACCGATCTGAAAGAAATCTCCCGAAGGCACAGGGCGGGCTGCTGAGTGGAGTGAAGAGGCCTACACTGTGCAGATAGACAGATCTCCCGGCGGGGGGGGGAGACAGACTGCAAGCGTCTACCTGCTTTGTGCTCTGCACAGGAAGGAAGTGGCCCAGGGGCCGGGAAGAGGATGAGATGGGAACAGAGACAGGCTCAGAGAAACAGCAGGGTGACCCGCAACCCCACCTGCCCTGACAGACGTCCCGGCTGGAAGGTGAAGGCTCTGGCTCCAGCGGGATGCCGGGACTCAGGAAACCCAAGCATCGCTGCTGAGGGGCCCAGGTGACAGAGTGTGACACTGGGTTGGGGCTTCTTTCTGTTTCTGTGAGGATCGTGGGGAGTCTCTGGCTTTCCTGGCAAAGGTGGCTTTGGGGACACTGAGGAGACATCAGAGTGTAGACAGGGACAATTGATACAACGCTGTGTGTGTCAAACAGAAACAGCCTGGCTGTCTAACAAAGGGTCTCTGTTAACACGGTTAATGGAGTAATGATGAGCAAAAGAAGCCAGGAGGGCAGCTGTGATTCCATTTATAGAAAGTTTAAAAACAGGCGCACTTAATCTGTACGAATTCAGAGCAGCCTCGCCCTCCGCGCCAGCAGAGGGCGCCTCTGGGGAAGATGTTCCTCATCCCCGATGTGGCAGAGCTTCCACGGCTGCGTGCAGATTAAAACTCAGCAAGCTGATCAGTGTGCCCTGCTGCATGCGAGCCCTCAACAAAAGTAGCAACGAAAGGATTGCATTATAAAGAATTTTAAGAGCTGCCCATATTGTAATACTAAACAAGGAAAGACTAAAAAGCACCACCATAGAGAGGATGATTATCCTAAAGGTGTGCGTGGGAAAGATCAGGATTGAAGCATTTCGTGTTCTGCGATTATGAAAATCTGCCTATCCCTATTTTCCCCATTTCATATGGGCACATGTCGGTCTCATAATCAGATATTCGTTTTTAAAAACAGAAGACGGATTGCTGCATTTACAGCCCACCTCGCTGTTGAGCGGAATTCAGCCAGGTCTGCTCAAGCCCCTGGTGTTTCCCAAAGCTGCCGTGGCTCCTGGGGCTTGTAGTTGTCAGCTGTCCCCCGTCCCCGAGCCTGAGCGAAGGACCAGCACGCTCCCCAACTTTCTGCTCACGCTCTCAGCATGCGGTACAGTGGTGGCCTTGGGCGAGGAAAGCAAAATGGGCCTGGATGGTGAACCCAGTGACGAGTGAAGCCCGGCCTGTGCCTGAAGGCGGGGGGCATGAGACACCGGCCATGCGGGCCTCAAGTCTGGAGTGACCGACTGACCAAAAAGTGGTCTCCTGTGGGAGTGTGGAGGCCACACCCCACCCAGCACATCCTGCCCAGCACACACTTCCCAAACGGCATGCAGCCAGGTGGCCTCTCAGCCCGTCCCCTGGGAGCTCAGAGAGGGCAAGAGTCTCACCAGGGCACACACCGAGGCCCTGTCCGAGTGACTCAGAGCCCCCGCGCTGCTCCACGCTGCCCCCTGGGGGTAGAGGTGAGCATGTGTCACACCCTCGGCCACCCGGAGACAGTCACACACAGATCACAGGCAACCCCAGGTCTGCACTGTGACAGTAAGAACCAGCCACGGTCACAATCGGGACTCTAGCGCTGCCAGGCAGCATCCCCGAGTCCCTGTCCCGGACGTCACTGGTGCTGTCCTCAAAAGAACAAGCTTGTGTTTGTGTGGCTTCTCTTCTGTCGAGTTTCACCTTAGTGTCTGTGTGGCCAGGTTGTGAAGTCTTCCTGAAGCACACTCGATAGTGCTCGGTTTAGACAACCACTGAGGGCACAAGGCTCGCTGGTTAGATCACCGAGCTTGACCACAGACCCAGGGGGTAGGTTTGCTGTTGAGTTTTCTTAAACCCCATTTTCCAGATAAGGCTTGGAGAGACTCAATAACTTGTTACAATCAAGTAAAGTAGTGAGTAGTGAGACGGGTCGGGACCCATAGCTTGACTGCACTGTTGCTCATGGCTTCGGGCACAGCGTGGGGTGGCTCGGGCTTTTTCCTGATGATTCACCTGCTTGTCACCGGCTGTTCTCACCCCGACGTGCTCTGCTCCACTCTGGATGCATCCCTGCCTTTCTGGCTCTTTTGGAACAGCCACTCTTTTCTGTTCTCCAAACACCGGCCAGTTTGCTGAAATGAATCTGCTCTGCACAAGGCCCCTGGGGAACCAAGGTTCTTAGGAAAAAAAATGCTTTAAACTTTGTTTCTGAGATAAACTCTCCAGCAAGGATCACTGAGCGAGAGTGCAGAGCTGGGCGATTATTGTGAGTAGACTGTGCCACCAACGTGGTGCCTCTTACTGTTACCGAGCCTGGGCCTGGCTGCTCGCCGCCCGGAAGCCAATGCCTAAGAGGCCAAGTAGCCTCACTGAGGGTGCCAGCGACCCAGAAAGGGCAAAGAGTTTCAGTTCTCACATTCTTCTTTCCGAGGCCTTAGGGGAAGGAAGGGGTATTTATATAGGGACTGGATTATGAGCTCCATGTAGAAGTCAGCACTTCCCCTGAGCATGAGTTCTACCGTCAGTTGTTGGCCAGAGCTGACGGCTTGTGACAGCCTGTTCTTGAGGCCCTGGTCCAAAGTAAAGGCCACTTCCTGGCCACGAGGATGGGACCGGGAATAAAGCAAGATGGAGCCACTGGTGGCAACAGCCTGTTACTCTCTGGTCCCGTCAACAAACCCACAGGTGGGAAGCCAAGGCCGAGATGGCTTTGAGCTTGACAGTCTCTCCACAGAGCCCACCTGCTTAGTCCGTGTGCTAGGCCACAGGCTGTCAGGCCTCTCCTTTGTCTTCCCGTAGGTCACAGGCCAACGTTTCTCATTCTTTAGCTGAGGTAGTGGAAGCCCAGGGTGTCCTGCACTCTGCTGTCCTTAGCTGAGGTTCGGGGGCAAGTCACCAACGACCAGGAGAACCCGACCCGACTGTGTACGAAACCCTCATGCCCTGCCCCTGACGGTGTCCTTCTGTCAGCTGCTGCCTGTTTCCTGTGGAAAATCCCCCACAGCTCCAGACAAATCGTGTCCTTGGAGCGAGGGATGCTGTCACCTGTAAATCTGGCCTGGCTGGGTGCTTACGAAGGCTGACTGTCTTAGGGGGAGACACCAAACAGTGACAAGGGCAGAAATGCGCAGTGCCATGCCCCCCAGAGCGGACAAGAGAAAGATGTGTGTGTTTAGCTCACGATGAACCAATAGTCAAACCTCTTGCACAACCAGTAGTTTCAGTTCACAAAGAAAAATTATATTGGGGGTGAGCACGCGTGAGTGTTGTGAGGGATGGGTAAAGGGGGCTCAGTTTGATGCTAAGAACAGGGTCCCCCTGAATTTAAGGCTGGCTTTACTAAGGGCAGCTCTGAAGAGAGCAGACTCACCCTCTTTGCCTTGCCTCTTGGACAGCAATTTCTTTTATTCAAAGGTGGGCTTTTGCGTAGATGGATACGAGTGTTCTTCTAGCTCTAGCTTCCTTTCATTCTTTTTAGTTTCCAACAGACTATATAGTTGGATGAACAGAGAACAAAAGTGAAATCATCTAAGAAGAAAAGCCCGTGAATAAACTTTCAGGCTAGTGCTTTCTCCTCTAGCTTACTTTAAACGCAACTTCAAAAGAAGGAGGAGGAGAAGGAGAATTGTTCTTTGCTTTTCCCCCCTGTAGTGGACTAATTCATTAAACTCCACCCCCTTCAAAAGAAACTGTGTATTTCCTACTTTAGCTGCCTATATGTTGAATCACAGAGCCCAGCTGGGCAGAGGAGCTGAGACATCCGTTCCCCAACAAGAGCCTCTGTCTGGTGAGTCCCCTCTTACTGCCGGGCCTGCCCTTCGCCACAGCTTCTGTGAGGAGTAAAAGCCCTCACAGGAACCTGGCCAAACCAGGTGCTCATAGAACTATCTTAAAATATAATCTTTATGATAAGGAAAGGGTCAGGATTTAGAGTGAGTTTCAGAGTCTGATACCATCAAAGATACGAGACATGATTGGGAAAGAAGGACTTCACAGGGGACACTGATTATTTTTAAAAATCAAACACCCTCACTTTTTCAAGGAACCTTTCCAGGGAGAGGAGCTTGACCGAAATCTCAGCAAGGATCACCTCCAGCTGAGGAGAACCGAAACTCACTCAGGCGCCTCTGCCTGTGCCTGCACCAGAAGCCGCATCTGGGTGGTGCTTTCCCCCACCCCAGGGAAGGAGGGAACCCTAAAACCTGTCTGTCCAAACTGATAGCAAACGGCAGCCATCGACAACACCTCCCTCTAGTGTATCGGGTCTATGCACTTCCATGTGGGAGTCTTTTCTCTGGCTCGGGCTATAAAGGTGAGATTTTCTGGGTGCTTCTCCCAGCTGCCTGATCTGAGAGTCAGGGAGCTGGAGACTGCTGGATCCTCGGAGCTTACACAGAAGGGGCAACCAGTTGGCCATGAGGCCGCCTGCCCGGGACGCGGGACATTCGCCAGTGGAAGTGAAGGAGAGCTTTGCTCTCAGTCTCAGGAGCCACAGGCACAGCCCTCAGACAGTGCGAGGTGGTGGCCTGGGTTAGGCAATCGGAGCTGCTACTGTGACCTTCCCAGGAGACGGGGCCTGAGCACATTTCCCTCTGCCGACACCAAGGCACTGGGGCTGTGGTCCTGCTCTGTGATTCTCACAGGCACTGCGACACAGGCAGCGTGGAAAGCTGTGGGATGGTTGCGTTCAAAACCGGTTACTTCCTGGCTGTGTGGCTTTGGGCAGACTGCTCATTTTCTCCCTCGTTTTCTCTGTGCTCTGGTGTCCCTGTCTGCAAAATGCGAATAGTATCAAAGTTGCCTTGAGGATTAAATGGAGAAACGGGCAGGAAGCTTGGAATGGCGTTGGCATCCAGAGCCTTGGACCTGTTTCTCTTTCTGCCTCATTTGTGGCGCCTGCTCTCTGTGGGCTGCAGGGCCAGCAGCCTCGATGTGGACTGAAAGACTGAGTGCCCTGGGCCTGCCTCAGTTTCTTACAATTGTATTGTAGCTTCGTCCACTCTTCACAGACACAGAAAACAAGAGCTGCTCTGGTGAGACGGCGTCTTCCTCAATTTCACTTCCAGCTGGGGAGCTTGGGGCTGGCAGAAAACCTTTGTTTTGTTCTGTTTTTCACTATAAAGTTCATCGTTGGGACCAAAAAGGGACCTCCACTCAGTACAGAAATCTGTAACACTTCGCGGTCATCGCAGACCACTGACTGCGTGTGTGCAGCTCTATAAACCATCACTTTCTCTTTCTTCACAGGGCAGAGCAAGATGGATAATCTAGCGACAAGCCCCATTTATGACATCGATTATGGCTTAGCAGAACCCTGCCAAAAAAGCGAAGTGAAGGGAATGGCAGCCCGGATCCTGCCCCCGCTCTACACGCTGGTGGTCGTCTCCGGCCTCGTGGGCAACAGCCTGGTGGTGCTGGTCCTCATCACCTGCAAGCGCCTCAAGAGCATGACCGACATCTTCCTGCTCAACCTGGCCGCCTCCGACCTGCTCTTCCTGCTCACGCTCCCGTTCTGGGCTCACTATGCTGCGGCCTCCCAGTGGGCCTTCGGAGGCGCGGTGTGTAAACTGCTCACGGGGCTGTACCAGGTCGGCTACTTCGCAGGGATCTTCTTCATCCTCCTCCTGACGGTCGACAGGTACCTGGCGATCGTCCATGCCGTGTTTGCTCTGAAAGCCAGGACGGTCACCTTTGGGGCGGTGATCAGTGGGGCCACCTGGGTGGTGGCTGTGTTCGCTTCTCTCCCAGGAATCATCTTCGCCACGTCTCAGAAGGAAGCTTTTCACTACACGTGCAGCCCTCATTACTCGACCGAGCAGTATTACTTCTGGAAGAATTTCCAGGCACTGAAGATGGTCATCCTGGGGCTGGTGCTGCCGCTGCTGGTCATGGTCGTGTGCTACTCAGGCATCCTGCGGACCCTGCTGCGGTGCCGGAACGAGAGGAGGAGGCACAAGGCTGTGCGGCTCATCTTCGCCATCATGATCATCTACTTCCTCTTCTGGGCGCCCCACAACCTCGTGCTCCTCCTGAGCACCTTCTCCAAGCCTGTGAACCTGAACAACTGCAACAGCTCCAACAGGCTGGACCAGGCCATGCAGGTGACGGAGACCCTGGGCATGACGCACTGCTGCGTGAACCCCATCATCTACGCCTTCGTGGGGGAGAAGTTCCGCAGGTACCTCTCGGTGTTCTTCCACAAGCACGTGGCCAAGCGCTTCTGCAAACGCTGTCCAGTCTTCCAGCGAGACACCCAGGAGCGCAGCAGCTCCGTCTACACCCGGTCCACTGGGGAGCCGGAGGTCTTCACGGGCCTGTGACCTGGCCCGAGGTCCAGACACAACTCGGCTTTGATGCACAACTGGGGTGGGAGAGTGGCTCTTTGAAAAAGGAAGTTACTGTCCCAGAGGATGGACGATCCGCCCACCATCTGACATCTGTTTCAGTCTATGGGAGCTTGGAAGGCCATGGACTCTAGTGTCAAAATACTGACAAAATTGAGGCCTGGTTTCCCTCTGCTTACACTGAGTCATTGGTAAACTCTCCCTTCAGAGCAAAAGGTCACTATAAAAATCTTCTTGGAGAACTGCTGTCTTGGGCCTTTGGGTTTGATGATCTAAACTGAAATAGCAGCGTTCACTGAGAAATACTGCAAGGGTCTTACTCCGTAAAAGGCAATACATAGGTGGTAAATGTGCTTAACGTAAGTCTTAGTCTCCCCGTGGTGGGGAGCTAGAATGTGAGTAGTAGTTGAGAAACAGCTCAGTAGTTGAGAAACAGTCAGCTCCGGCTCTGACTGCCCTCCAAGGTCTGGACAGCAGGCTCCACAGACTTCCGGGACCTGTCCTGGGAATGCGTCCCAGGTGGAGGGAACTTGAGCTGGGTCATCTCTCAGTGGAAGAGGGGAGCCCTGCTTCGGGCTGCAGGTGGCTGTCCCCGAGGAGGGAGGACATGGGGCAGAGGGATGGGGCGGAGGCAGCACTGCCCAGCAGAGTTGTGGCCAAAAGCTCATCTCGTGGCCACAGGGGCAGGGGAGGTGAGCATCTGGGACAAGGAGACACAGTAAGGCCGGGGCGAGGGCGGCCTCCAGGGTCCTGCACTTAGGATGCAGAGTCAGTGCAACTTGGGCTGAATTGGGTTGGAGCGGAGGGGAGGGGTTCTCCAGGGAGGCAGGGAGAACCCTGGGCTTCACACAGATGGAGGAAGCCAGGGAGTCATGAAACATGGAAGGAGGTGGAGGTTTGGGAGCAGGAGAGAGGGCTTGGTGAGAGAGGACAAGCTCAAATGCAGCGGGACAGAGGGACTCGCGTGTCCGCCATCCCTTCCACCTGGCCCAGGGCTCCTCCCCTGGAGGCCCTGAAACTCTTGATCCATGAATCCATGAAGCAGGTGCCTGAGGCCTGGGGGCTCTGCAGAGTCCAGAGCGCCACACCCTGAGCAAAGAGGCCCCAGGGCAGAAAGAGAAGCTCAGAGGACGGATGCCCTGCAGGAAGGAAGGCAGGACCAGCTTTCTGGGTTCACCTGTCAACAGGCAAAGGGAGGAAGTGACACATTCATTCAGAAACCAGTTGCCTTTAGCCACAAAACTTCCCCAGCTCCCTGTTTCGGGCGGAGCGTGGGGGCCCTCAGCAGCTTCTCCAGAGGGCTTCTCAGGAAAACGGTTCCCAAACACTGAGGAGTTTGGGAATTTCATTCCAGAGGAGGCTGGCACGCTGCTGTTGGTGCTGTCCTCGCAATTCGGATGACTTTTTACCATCCCTGAGGTTGTTTTTGAATTCTCGAGCAACTAAGACCAGGAAAGGGAGGATGAGGTGAGAAAACACAAGAGGTGAGGCCCCCTTGGGGTTAAGGTGTCAGAGGTGTAAGAGGTGTCGTGAAGTCTTCTCAGGCCCTGAAACTAGAGCGTGGCCGAGGGTGCAGTGTCAGCAGGAAGCGGACCGGTGGGAGATGGTCGAGAGCATGAGGGCCTGGGACCCCTGCCTCCGGGTGGCTTCCAAGGCCAGCAGGAGCCTGCACATGTACTTGTATGTTCTTATGTGCATAAGAAGTTGCAGATTCTTTGGAAAAGACGTGCATCTAATAAAAACCACCTTCTAAGTGTAACTCTGTTTTAGTCTTTCCGCCAAGTGTACATCTAGAGGCCAACACAGGTAGCTGTCAAAGGCATCTTCTAAGTCGCTTGTTTTGGAAAACATCCTTGTAAATCTTTTTTTTCCGGTACCTGTGATTGAACTCGGGTCCTTGCGCTTGCGAAGCAGGCGGTGAAACCACTGAGCTAAATCCCAGGCCCCTTGTAAATATTTTAAAAAGTCAACTTTCTTCCTGAGACAAATTGCCACAGTCGTTTTGTATTTAAAGATGGAGTTTCTGAGCAGCTGACCTGAAAGCTTTTAAGTCTCACAGGTAACTACTCCCTCAGCAGAAGGGTCAGCAGGTCTTTAAAAGGAGAATGGGGACAATGGCAGCCTCTGCCTGGGAGTTTGTGTGCAGCTCGAGGGGCAGCCCCTCCCTCACAAGTGGGCATGATGTTGGCCTCTATGAAGCTGATTTTCTTTCATTTACAAGCCCTCCCCCAAATTTAGTTTTAACTGCGTTAGTGGCAAAGGGTACATTTGGACTTCCGGGCATGGCTCACTTACCTGAGAGAGGACAGGTGCTCCAGGCAGAGGTGGCCACTCTGGGTCCCATTCCCCCTGGGAGCATGCTGATTTCTGGTCTACCTCAGACCCAGGTTCTGGAGCAGATCCCGAGCAGCAGACGCCAGAGTCGGCCATGATCCTGCTCAGCTGGCTGGATCTGGGGCAGCTTCTCCCTCCCACCCTGGAAGGACGGCCTTCCGTGCTTCGGGTCACAAAGTGGGATGAGACAGGAAGGGTGGGAGGCTGCTGGGGCTAAAGCAGGGGAGGAGGACAGCTGAGAAGGGAGCCTCCCTTCTGTGAAGAGGGAGAGGGAAGGGACCTGTTTCTGTGGCTGCACGATGCTTGCATGCCTTTTTCCCTTTCCATCTTGCTGGTGTGATCAAAACATACCACGAATGTTTAAATAGTTTTTAATTTACTCCAGTAAAAGGCACATGGCTGCTAATCCCCCTCAAAATACTGTACTCCCCTCGTTTCTAACACGTGTCCCATTGTCCTCGCCACTTCCTGCAGCAGCTCTGGAGTCCTCCTTCCTGAGTGTCTTTAGCTGCGCTGTCCTGGCTGCTTCGTGTCTTGAATCCATTCAAAATGTTTCCCTTTCGTGGTTGTTTTGACTGTGGGAAGAGCGCTAAGTCACATGCACCACAGCCGGTGAATAAGGAGGGTGAGGACACAGCGTCATGTTTTTACGAGCTGCCTTTCCATCGGATGCCACTGGGCGGTGGCTCTTACCATTCTTTCTTTCTTTCTTTTTTTGGTACCTGGGCTCGAACTTGGATCCTTGTGGTTGCGAGGCAGGCAGCGGCACCACTGAGCTAAATCCCCGGCAATTTGCCAATCTTTTGATCACACCTTGAAAAGTCATTTGTGAAGGAGGGCTCGAGAGCTGCCTCAGACACTGGGAAGGATGATGGGATGGGGGTGTTCAAACTGAGGGGAGGACTCTGAGGGGGATTCACGGCAGGGCATCTTTGACGGCAGTGAGTGTTCTTCAAGTTAAATGTTCACCATATTCTTTTCATCCGCCCTTGTATTTAACGTACCCAACGTTAAGGTGAAGAAACGCTCTCCGAGGTGTCGGCGGCCATCCCCACGGCAGTGCCCACAAGCTCCCCACACCCACTCGCCGTCACACTGGGGACCTGACCCACTGCCCACCTCCTGGGTGAGGGGCCCTACTGTCTCAGCCCGGGGGGCGCTGCCAAGGAGGGTTACCTGCACGCCATGGACAAACCGAAGTCGGGGTGACTGTCCTCAGCAAGGAGAGCTACGTGCACGTTCTTAAAGTGGGATTCTGTGGGCGTTGGTGTTCCAAGCGTTCTGAGTTTCAGCAGCTCCAACTAAATTAAAATGCACTGGTCTTTCCACTGTGAGGATTGAGCTCCTCAGCCATTTATTTTCTTAGGGTTAAGTTTACAAGGCATTTATTTTCCAGCACAGGGAGAAACAGACCCCCAAACATGGGTTTGTTAGTCTTCTGCTGAAGCCTTAGACTCACCCCTGCCACCCTGGACACGGGGCTGTGAGCTGCGGAACAGGACCCGCCCCCCCCCCGTCGGTTCTGCGCCCTTCACTTGCAGTCGCTGTTCTCAGGGCCTCCCACAGCCTCAGGGATGAGGGGACCCAAAGCGCAGGACATCACAGCACCTCCACCGCTCCTTCAGTCACTTTAATATCTCTGATAATGTATTTCTTGCATAATTGTCTATAAGCATTTTTCTGGCTTCCTTACATTGGGTTCCACACTGTCACTGCTTGGTCTGATGATAAGTCCTGCGTCACTGTGTTTCAGGAACACACTTCTGAAGGTGTTGAGTCTTTTCAAGCTCTCCCACGGAAAGGCGTTCCAGGCCCTGGAGCACCTTGGCCTATGCCGCCCCCTGGAGGCCACATCCACCAACTAGCAAGGGTGTCCCCGCCAGCTTTGACTGGGGAGCACCAGCAGGGGGCGCTGGCTTCCCATCAGCTGCAGCAGGCTCAACTGGGGCAGATGAGGCGCCGGCCACCACCACCATGGTTTCTGCAGAGCAGGGGAGCACAGGCTGGTGCCTGTCTGGAAATGAAGTTTCCAGCAGACGCCGAGTCCCCACCCTCCCACCCGGCCGCAGCGAAGCCGGTCTCCCTCAGCACCTGCTCCAGTGGCGTGGACAGTGACAGTGCAGGGGACCCGTCACCAGCCATCTGCACCAAAGGCTCTTTGCCTTCCTGTCAGCACCTGCTCTCCTGAGGGACCCAGAGTCCTCACCAAGAACAGCGGGTCCCCATTTTAAGGTGTTAAAAAGTCTTTCTCCTCCCCCATCCAGGTCCCCCTACAAGGAGTAAGAAAAGATTATAGCAGACTTAGCAGATTTGCACTTACAGTTGTTCACTTGTGGGACAAATCTTTACGGAGAGTCCAGTGTGCAGTGGGAGGGCTGCCTCGGAGCACAACCTCCCGAACTGCAGGCTGATGGAGTCTGGGTCGGGGGCTCAGGGGTCCCCCTGGCCCCAAGGAGGCTCCCAGTCAGCACCGAGCCCTCTGTGTCTCCTCGTAGGGTCCACACCCGTGCGCAGTCTCGTGTGTCACCAGACCATGTCGCCTTTGTCCTTGGTGCCCTTCCCACCTCTCCTTACATGGGAGAAATTACGCAGGAAAGCCTGTCTACAGCACAGCCCGGGAGGAATTTCAGGGGACCCTGTGGAGAACACACGGAGGCTGTGGAGAGGGACTTCAGGGACTGGGGATGGCGAGGAGCGGACTAGACAGAAGGACAGCCAGAGGGAGGATGGATGGGCGGAACTTGAACCCCGCTGAGGCCTGCAGGGGCCAGCAAGCCAGGAGCCCGGCCAGCGCGGCCTCAGATCGGGCCGAAGTGCAGTTCAGGGAGTGGCAGGGAATGAGGACGAGGGGCCCAGGGGAGCCCACTGGCCGTGGAGACTTGGCCTCCGGGAGGGGGGGCGTAGACAC